CTGCTGGCTACAGCATCGCACTGATGGCTCGTGTTCATACTGTGGTCTGTTATTACCCCAAGGTCCTTTTCAGTCATGGTGCTAGTCAGTTGGGCACCATCAAGCCTGTAAGTATGTTGGGGGTTGTTTGTCCCCAGATGGAGCTTCATGCTTCTCAGTGTTGAACTTCATCTGGTTCCGAGACTGGCAAGTTGGGCAGATGTCTAGGTCTGCCTGTATCTGCAGCATGTCTTCGAGCGTGACCACGCTTCCGCATAACCTGGTGTGGTCTGTGAACTTGGCCAGTGAGCTCTTCACCCTCCCATCCAAATCACTGATAAAGATATTGAAAAGCACTGGACCAAGCACGGACCCCTTGTGGACACCACTGCCCACTTCTCACCCAACTGACACAGATCTGTTCATTAGAATTCTCTTGGTCCTACCCCGCAGGCAACTTCCCACCCAGCTCATTGTCAAGCCGCTAACCCCGCCCTCCTCCAATTTTCCCATGAGAACATCAAGGGATACCAAATCAAAGACCTTTTGGAAGTCTACGGATACAATGTCAACCTCCTCTCACTTATCCAAGTGGCGAGTTACCTGGTCATAGCAGGAGATGAGATTAGTAAGACAAGACCTGCCCATGACAAAGCCATGCTGGCTGTCATTCAGAATCCTATCTTCTGCAAGCATATCGCACAAAGACTCCTTGATGGATTTTTCCAGAATTTTCCCAGGGATAGAAGTTAGGCTGATTGGCCTGTGGTTGCCTGGGTTCTCTCTCCTCCCCTTCTTGAAGACGGGCACAATATTGGCCCTCTTCCAGTCTTCCGGGACCTCCCCTGAGCACCATGAGTTTTGGAAGAGTTTCACCAGAGGTCCCGCAATGACTTCGGCCAGCTCCTTCTGAAGTTCATCGAGTCCTGCTGACTTAAATGTCTAAGTTTCCTAACTGATCATGCACCAGATCAGCATCAACAGTAGGAAGGTGATCATTCACACCACGCCCATTCTAGTATGATTTCCCCATTAGTCCGGTGAAATACCAAAGCCAAGTAGTCATTCAGGAGTTCAGTTTTCTCTGGAGTGTTGGTAACCAGCTGTCCTGAGTTGTTAAGCAATGGCCCCATGCTTCCATTTGTATTCCTCCTGTTCCTTCCATACCTAAAGAAGGACTTCTTATTGTCCTTGATTTCTGTTGCTAGTTTAAATTCAGTCTTTGCCTTAGCCTTTCTGATCTGCTCCCTGCAAGTGTGGACTGTTGTTGTATAGTCCTCCTTGGGGCTGTCCCAAGCTTCCGTTGTTTGTATGCCTCTTTTTCTTCTTTTTCAAGAGGACCGTGATATCCCTGTTAAGCCAAGAGGGCTTACCAGCCCTTCTGCCACCTTTCCTCTGCATGGGAATGGACTTTTGTGCTTTGAGGATTGTGTCCTTTAGAAATGACCACTCTTTGTGCACTCATTTCACCTTTGGTCCCTGGTCTCGCAGCGTTTCCCCTACTATTGCCCTGAGCCTGTTGAAATTTGTTTTTTTGAAGTCCCAAACTTCAACCCTGTTAGCTGATTTTCCTGCCTTGTGACAGATAGTAAATGTGATGGTTTCATGGTCGCTGTTGCCCAGACTACCCTCTGTATTCAAGTTGCTCACCAGATGGTAAGCCTTGGTCTCACTTGGCCAGAACCAAGTCTAGGAGAGCATTACCTCTGGTTGGCACATGCACTTCCTGAGTCAGGTAGAGCTCTTTGATACAGATTAGGAGGCCACATGACCAATCTGACTTAACAAAATGCTCCTCCCAAGAGATGTCTGGGTAATTGAAGTCACCCATGATGACCATGTCCCATATGTGTGTGGCCTTTGCCAGTTCTTGAGAGAACTCCAGATCGAGCTTTTCCCCCTGGTTTTGTGGTCTGTAGTATACACCTACAGTTAGGTCTTGCCTCACCCCTTCCTTCCTTCCCGCCCCCCCCCCGCACCCCGGTAGTTTGACCCAGAGGGTTTCGAGCCATTCTTCTTTGGAGCTGAAGTTGGCCTCCAAGGAAGTGTACTGCTCCCACACATGGAGAGCTACATCTCCATCTTTCTTCCCTACTCAGTGCCTTCTGTGCAGGGTGTAGCCCTCTATGGCTGCATTCTAATCATGTGAGGAGTCCCACCAGGTCTGTGTAATTCCT